CAGACACAGGGGACAACCAATAACAAGGAATGGAGGCAGAACAGGGTATGAGGAACATAAAGAAGAGCAGGATGGACTACACAGTCTTTGAAGAGGACTAATGCACACCAGAACAAAAATGGTGGGTTAGAGTCCATAGGAAAGTAAGATGGTAGGACCTATGCTTTAGGAAAATTACTTTGACATCCACGTAGAAGATGGATACTGAATTCATCTTGTGGAACGTGCACTTCAGGAAATGGGACAGTTTGAGAGAGAAGATGACAAATTCTGTTTTGGACACATTGATTTTGAAATGGCTACAGGACATCCATTTCAAGAAGTTCAAAAGGCAGTTAGTGATTCTAAACTGGAACTTAGAAGACATACTAAGACTAGATTTGTAGATCTGGGTATTATCTGCATGAAGATGGAGTAGCTGATGAAATCACCAAGTGAGATGGTACAGAGGGAAAAATAAAACCAAGAATCAATAAAACTAAGAGTCCAAGAGAGAGCCCTGGAGGACACCCACTCTTGGTTTTATTTTTCCCTCTATGCCATCTCACTTGATGATTTCATCAGTTACTTTGGGTTCACTTATCAACTCCATGCAGATAATATTGTATGATGAAGAACTATGAATAAACTAACTATTCTCAGCAATACATAAGACAATCCCAAAGCACTAATGATAAAGCATACTATCTACCTCCAGAGGAAGAACTGATGTTGTTTGAATATGTACTGAAGCTATTTTTTACTTCATTTTCTTCATTTCATCCTTTTTCTTTTATTTGAGTCTTCTTGTACAAAATGACTAATATGGAATGTTTTACATGATTGCATACATATAATCTATATCTGATTGCTTACTGTCTTAGGGAGGAGGGAAGGGAGGAAGGAATAGTATTTGGAACTCAAAACTTAAAAAAAGTTAAAAATTTGTTTTAACATGTAATTAGGGGGAAAATAAAATATTCTATATTAAAAGAAATATTAAAAAATAGGTAGAGCAAAAATAAAATATCAATAAAATTTTAAAAATAAAATAAGATAAAATATTCATATCCTTTGCCCAGAAATTCCATTGTTAGGTATATACCCCAAGAATATCATTGATGAAAAGAAAGATTCCATATAAAACAAAATATTTAAAAATAATTTTCACGGTAACAAAGAAAAGGAAACAGAGCAGATGCTCATCAAGTGGAGGTTGGCTAAACAAATTACAGTACATTAATGTAATGAAACATTGCTGTGCTATAAGAAATTATGAATATGATTAATGTCATGGAAAGATACATATTGATACAAAGTGAAGTAAATAGCCAACAAAACAATATTCACAGTGTCTACAATGTAAATGGAAAGAATAATCACCACAAAACAACTAAAATTGAATGTTGCAAAATTAAAGAGAACATATGGCCCCAAAGAAGGGAAGACACAATTTCTGATCCTTTGGAGAGGCTGGAGTACATCCAAGGAAGACCAAATAAAACATAAGATTTTTTTTTCAATGTACTGATAGTCTTCGCTAACTTTTTCTCATTTAAAAAAAATTCATTGTTATTATAGATTACTCTCTGAGAAAGGAGAGTGGAAGGGATGTGGAGGGATCCTGGGAGGTATAAAAGCAAAAGCCATCAATAAAATTCCATTTAAAAACAGATAAATCATCAGGAAGGATTTTTTAAAGAACAAAATCACTGGTCACTTTGGAGAGAGTATTTTCAGTTAAATGATGAGGTCAAAGACTAAATGTCAGAGGGTTTAGAAGAGAGTGAAAAGAGATGAAATGAAAGCACTTAATGTATATGGGTTTAGCAGTGAAGAGGATGAGTGATATAGAAAGACAGCTAGTGAACATGAAAAGGTTTGAGGGGTTTTTTAAGGATGAAGGAGATATGAGTATATTTGTAGACATCAGAAAACAAGCTAGTAGAGAGAGACTGAATATTAGAGAGAGGGAAAGACGATGGATGGTAGTAGCAACCTGCTGGAGAAGTCAGAAGGAGATGGGATTGAGTGTACGTGTCAAGAGCTGGTTTGGGCACAGAGGAGGGTGACCTCTACATCTGATGAATGAAGCAATGAAGGGTATACCAAAAATTTCCTTCAGGGAGAAGGTCACAGATACTAATCAGAGAATCACTTATCACAGGATCATACATTGTGAATTAGAGGGAACCTTAGAGATCAGCTCATTTTAGAAATAAGGAAACTGAGACCTACGTAGGTTAAGTGACTTGTACAAGGTCACACAGATAGTAAGTGGCACAGCTGGGTTTTGAACTCAGCTCATCTAACTCCTATTCAAAGCAAATTTACCACTGTACTATCCTGTCTCTGGTCAATAATACGGTGACTCTCTGGGCATTACAATTCATTTAGAATTCAGTTTGACCTTTTGTTTCATCTAGTATTTTATAATTAATCATCATGTACTATAAAATGCCATTTATTTTTCTCGTCTTCATTGTCTCCTAAGGCAGTTTAAAATACTTTATTGCAAAATCATCTGCTAATTTATTTTTCCACTTTTTTTTCATCAAAGTACTGGCAAACACCATTTAAGGAGAAAAAAAGCATTGCATACAAACTGTCTGTGTGGGAGCATAGATGGAGTACTGGTCTCAAAGCTAAGAAGATCTAGGTTCAAGTCCTCACTTCTTTGTATCCTCAGCTGCTATCACAGTGTTAGTAAGTACTTAATAAACACTTATTGATTGGTTAAATTAGTAGCATATACATAATTAGAGGCATTTCCTCCCCAATCTAGTTAACATGGCTCACTGGGGGCCATTAGTGTTCTGGCTAAAGTAAAATGGGGGAGGGGTGAGCCATTATCCACTCCACATTCCAAGCAACTAAAAGGTAAACAGATTCCTTTAATGATTACAATATGACCACAAGGGAGACAGGCAGGTCCCTAATAAAAAGCCACATGAAGAGTAAATAGCATAACTGATGGCATCTGAACTCTGGTCCTCTGGCTTCATCCCTCTACTTTTCATAAGACTAAAAAGAACATTCCCATAGTTCTTAGCTTCAAATAAGATCACACCAGATATTCTCAGTGTGGCAGTTAATATAACAACTTATTGTTGGTTAATTAATGTAACATACATTGTGGATTATTATGACCCTGGGCAAATCCCTTAACCTCTCAGAACCCCAGGCAACTAACTCTAGGACTTGAAACTGCAGAAAAGGGATATATATATTTATGTACACATATACACATATACATGTACATACACATATGTGAGTGTATGTATGCATATATATCTATATCTATAGATATAGATATAGATATAGATATAGATATAGATATAGATATAGATATAGATATAGATATAGATATAGATATAGATATAGATATAGATATAGATATAGATATAGATATAGATATAGATATAGATATAGATATATATGCATTGGTAGCGAGAGTTCTCTGTACTAATTAAATTACAAGTCCAGGCAAAAAAAGTAATTGTTAATGTCATAATTAGCAAGCTCTTATTATAATATATAAAATTAATATCAAAGGTGTTTATTAAGTGGTTATTGGATTTTGTGAAACGAATATTATAATTTGGGCTCATCATGCTGTTGTGCAAGCTACATGGCACAGTGGATAGAGCATCGGTCAGGAAGTCAGGAAGATCTGAGTTCAAATCTAGACTTAGGCACTTACTAGCTGTGTGACCCTAGACAAATCACTTAGCCCTGTTTGACTCAGTTCCTCATTTGTAAAATGAACTGGAGAAGGAAATGGTAAACCACTCCAGTACCTTTGCCAAGAAAACCCCAAATGGGGTCATGAAGAGTCAGACATGACTGAAAATGACTGAATGATAATGATGCTGTTTGTAATCCTTTCCATTCTCGTGGCATCTTCTGAAGGCTCAGCATGGCAGGGTGAATACAGATCTGGTCTCAAACCAGAAAGATCTGGGTTCAAGTCCCACTTCTGACACATGGCTGCATGCGACCCTGGGCAAGTCACTTGACTTTTCAGAGTTCTAGGCATTTTCTAAGATTGTAAGCTGTAGAACAGGTGCCAACTTATACTGGACAAAGCAATTTCTTTATGCAAAGAATTCCCTATGACAATCAAATCACAGGCCTAGTTCCTACCACTATTCCCTTGGAATCTTCTCTCTCTTTAAGTCATCTTGAAAACTGACCCCTGAGTGCTTTTAAAATTAAATCATCTACAGAAAGTAATGAGTCAGCCTCACCTTCTCAAGCATCAATGCCATTATATACCATTTATTACAGATGAGTCAAGCTTCCAAATGTAAGCAATTTGGATCTATGTCCCAAAGGTTACTAAATTGTGCATACCCTTTGACCCAGCTATGCCATTTCTAGGCCAATACTCCAAATAGATCAAAGAAAGAGAAAACTTACCTATACACATAAAAATATTTATAGCAGCTCTTTTCCTAGTGTCCCCACACTGGAAACTAAGGGGTAATTCTTCTACAAAATAATACCTGACAAATAAAGACTTCAGAATGCAATGGAATATTATTGTGCCAAAAGAAATGACAGGATGGGCAATTTCAGAGGAAACTGGTACAATATTTATGAACTGATGCAGAACAAAGTGAGAACTGGGAGCATGATTCATACAAAGATAGCAGCATTGAAGAGAAAAAAAAACTTTGAGCATCTTCAGAACTCTGGACAATATAAATATATGATGAATCATGAATCCAGAGGAATGAAGATAAAATATGCCAGTTATCTCCTGCCAGAGAGGTTATGAACTTAAAAGAGATAACGCATTTTTGGCGACGGCCAGTGTCGGAATCTGCTTTACAGGACTATGCATGTTCGTGATTAGGGTTTTATCTTTTGGCTGTTATTGTTCAGAAGAGGGTAAGAGGAGCAATGAGATGAAAATGCAAAAATAAAAAAAAAGAGATTTAATAAAAAGTGTCCAAATATGATAGATCTACTATTATCATTAATGATGAGAGAATGCTATAGAAATGCAAACAAACCTGTCTCATTTCCCATGTATTTGCTGTTCTCCTTCCAGGTTCATTTATTCACACACCTCAGACCTAATAATCCAACAAATATGGAAATATGCATTAATGTTAGCCTGCTAGACCCTTAATCAGTGGTGCCTACCTCTATAATACCACATCAATAGCAAGGTTCTTTCCTTGTAAGAGCTTCGAAAAACTCATCAGCATCAATAATATAAAATTAACAAGCTTGAAAGGAGGATTATATGGTACACAGGTAATACAACAGTAAGTGTACAAATGAGCACAATTTATAAAAATCAATATCTAAATTATGCACAATTATTAGAATATCTTCCATGTTGTAATGAACAACAAGCACGTTGTTTAAAGGGATACATCCTGGATTTATTTCACTTCCTAGCAAGATGTCTTTATGGGTTATTTAATTATGGCATTTGGTTGAGCTGGGAATACTCACTCCTCTAATATCACTCTTGGGAAGATTCTTCTGGCACTTTAATCGGCCCATAAGCCTATGAAACCTACAAGATTTGTTGCATTTTAAAATTTATATAAGCCAATTTCCCAGTTTACTAACCAAATTAAATAAGAAAACAGCCTGGGTTTGAAGTCTTAGAATCATGAAATTAATTATCTTTGTTAGATCAATGTGAATAGCAAATCTCAGAACTGAGGGCCCTCTCACCTGAGACTTATTTCATCTCCTTTTGTTAGTGGATAGAAAAATATCCTCAATTACCATACCTTGCCCTCAATTTCTAAGAATTACTAAAGTAAATGCCCACGCAAAAGGTTCTTTTTCATGTTCTATTTGTATCTTCCATTAATTTTATAAGACTAAAAAAATGTTCCAGACAATATCCTACCAACTCCAATTAGCATAAAAACATCAGTCTCTGAAATGCTAAATATATTTCAGAGATGGGAGACATTTTCCCCCTCATAAACAGAAATATGTCATCTAATATTACCCTTACCTTTTTTACAGTTTCTAGAATATAATTCCCCAGTAGAATGGAGTTTGAAAAGTTGACTTGCCTAAGCCTTTGGATTGTAAAAAATAAAGTGACTAGAATTCTGAGTCTTCTCAGAATTCAGAGCAAATTCCCTTTACCTAGTCCTGGGAGCTCTGGAAGAGAGAAACAAAACACAAAATGTTGGATAAGTCATTCTGCCTCTATAAGTCGCCATTTCCTTATCTATAAAATGGGAGGTTGGGAGGGGAAGATCACACAATGTCTTTGGTCCCTTCAATTTCCAAATTTTACAATGAGTCATTTCAATCGTGACCCTATTTGGGGTTTTCTTGGCAAAGATATTGGAGTAGTTTGCCATTCCCTTCTCCAGCTCATTTTATAGACGAGGAAACTGAGGCACCAATTGCCTCCATCGACCTGTAGATCTTAATTATCCAGGATCCTCAAGTATAGAGCATCATGATAAACCTAGAAACTGAAGGTACAAAATCCCATTAGTGACCATAGTTGCAATAATGTAAAAAGACTTAGATGTATTTTAGTGGGAATAATCACATGATTATATTTTTGCATGAAGTGAATGCAAACAATCTAGATGATAACTTAAAGCAGACTAGAAATTTAAATGGTTACTGATGATGAAATAAAATATATTTTGAATAGTGCTGAAAACTCAAAGGACACTGATAAAAGTCAATGAAGATGTAAATTGTAGGCAAGAAAATAATTCAGGATGATGCTATTCATAACTAACGTTTGAGAAAGAAAACTGTAACATACTGACAAGGTCATACATATTGTACATTCTATTCTAACAAGAAAGAGTCAAGAAAACAAGTTGACTATGACGGGCTTATTCAAGAAAGTAAATTCCAAGCTATACTCTGGGATCTGAAGAGATTCAGTTCAATATCTGAAATCTATGTTTACAGTATAATACACTAATCATAATGATGACCATAGGTCAACAAAAAATGGCCAAAGAATATAAATTACATTGTGTTTACTAAGGTAGAGAGATGTATAACATACATTTTAGGGAAAATGATTAAATTTCTATTTAAAATTCTAGAATAAAAAGTTTTTAGAACTTAACTAGTTTACCTTCAGTTATAGTTTTAAAAAACTAATACTCTTGCAGTCAATAAACAAACTTCTATTAAGCACTATTTGTATCCCACAAATATGCCATATAACTGAAATATTTGCCATATGCTTAAATTTTCCTTGCAGATTAGGAAAGCAGGTCAAGATAGTTATCTCTGGAAACATGTCTTTCTGATCAAGGATAAAGGTCATAACTTTAATTCTGAAAATAGTTTATAAAAAAAAACATAGTAATTGATCCACATGTTGTGGATGTTAGCCAGAATTTGGTTTTTATCACTACAAACATATTGAAATACCTATCTCTTTTAAGTTTGAGGGGGAAAGCAAAAGACCATCTTGACTTCTCTCAGGAAAAGGGAGATTTATGGATATAAATGTAGGTATAAATATAGGCATAACATACAGTACTATGCCATGTTGGATTTCTAATAAAAGCTAATGGAAGTATTCCTTAAGTTGGTGTATATTAAATTATTTTAATGAAGAGCAAAAAACTCCACTACCTCCTGCTGACAATGAGAGTGTGGTGTGGGGCTGGATGGATGGACTAATGTGAATCTCAAAGATCTAGATACATATTTGAGTAAAGATCATAATAATCAAATTTCTCCCTACCTCCTAATGCCCTATTGTATATTTTACAATAAATTCGAGTTATTATAAATTATTATGTTATGTTACAACACACCTATCTCTAAATAATTTGCAGCCCTTGATTTTATCACAGTGTTATAAAGTACCTGGCCCCAATCTACTTTTTACAGAACCAGAAATGGAGGGACAAACACACTGGCCTCTCTCTGATCCAGCAGAAAAGAGTTATGACTGTTGTCACCAACTATTTGACCCAGGCAACCTATGACTATGAAGGATACGTACATTATTTCATTAAAAGCTAAGCCAATTAACAACGCAGAGCTTATTCATAAATCCGGTCAAAGGTGATTAAAAATTTGAATATATTTAGTATATACATTATTCATTTAGAATTAGTGATAATTTGACCTGGGCTGAAGCAAACTTGTATATTATCTATGAATAAAGGGTTTGTAAGCAAATTGAGCATGTAAATGAGACTGCTGGGGGTATATTTAGCTTACTTCAGAGAGCAAAATTTTCACTAAATCCCACTAAGCTTACTTCCAATTAGTGAGATTTTATTGAATATGGATAGGTAAGGAGATTAATGAATCCACAGTATATAGCTTTAGGAAAAAAGGGGGGTAGCAAAGATGAACTCATAGAAAATGACCATACCCTTCTTTTTTTCCTGCAAACTGTTGAAATGAGCAAATGTGATCAATGACAGTGTTCCCCCTTGCTCCCATGCCCACCCCCATGAAATAATGATATTCTCAGAGCGGCTAATTAGCAGAAGGCCATACACAGGTTGTTTTAACGTTGACCTTATGGAACTCAAGGGTTTTACCTCTGAAAAACTTTTCAACTGAGGTGATCCCATATTCTTCTTTCAACTATTCAACATGTAATTACACTACTGCTTCTAAAGCTGTCACTGAAAAAAAATCTTTTCAACCAATCACAATCAACCAAAACTTACTCAATGGAAACATAACAAGGTTAGTGTGTTGTTTATTTTGTTGTTATTTTGTCATTTCAGTCGTGTCCAACTTTTTGTGACCCCATTCGAAGTTTTCTTGGCAGAGATACTGGAGTGATTTGCCATTTCCTTCTCCAGCTCATTTTGTAGATAAAGAAACTGAGGCAAAAGAGATTAAGTGACTTGTCCAAGGTCAAATAGCTAGTGTCTGAGGTCAGTTTTGAACTCAGGTCTTCCTGACTCAAAGCCTGGCACTCTGGACACTGCATCAACTAGCTAAGCATAGTGCATAGCAAAGGTATAGCAAACAACTCTCTACTCTCAAAGAGTTTACAATCTAATTTTGGAAATAAAAACTTACATAAAAGATGATGAGAGAACAATGTATTGCTTACGAATACCTGCATAAAGTTGTTCCCAGACAACTTCATCATATTCACAGAGGAAAAAATGACTAGAATAAGAATTTTTACTGTTGACGCTATGCAGTACGGTTGGATGGCATCCCAAAGAGCTCAACCATCAGTACATATATCTTAGACACTGCAAATGTCTGCAAATGCAATAGGCTGGACCCAATACTGAATGGGAAGAAGAGAGTAGGCTGAATTGTATTTGGGAGCAGGCATAATTCTTTTAATAATTACAAACTTCTGTATTAAACAAAGACCCATCTTTTTAACATCAATATACTTCTAGTGGACTTAGATGTCTTCAAGTCAAGAAGTGCTACAATTCAGGCTAGCTAGATACTGCAGTGGATAGAGTGTTGGACCTGGAATGAGGAAGAGCTGAGTTCAAATCTGGCCTCAGACATTTAGCAGCTATGTGACCTCATCCAAGTCACTTAACCCCAATTGCTTCAAAAAAAAAGTGCTAAATTCTCCTAAGAAATGAAGGTGAAGATGACATGAATGAAAATGGAGGGGGTAGGAGCAGGTTGTAATCCATTACAAATGAGGAATTATACAGAAGCTTACAGGTATAAAGGAACTCATCAGAGAAGCATATACTAAAACAATAATAATAATAATAATAACATGGACCTGCCAGTCACATTACAAAAGTGAAGGATAAACTATGCACAGGATGTGCGCTCCATGTGCATTTGTGTAATATCAAGATGTCTAAAGGATTCCCTCTTCTTCTCCTCCTCCCCCCTTCCAAGTTGGGTAGGTATATAAAGGATTTATGAGAGGATAAGTATGAGTATGAAATGGGAGGCATGCATAGCTTGTGATCTGTATCACTGGAGGGAGTGTCCTTAACCAGGAGTCCCCTGCAATATTAAACCTCAACCTAGAATTAGGGGCATTTCTAATGATCTTCTGCTGGTCCATTCTTGGTGCCCACTTTAAATCTTTGTTTTTCATTTAGGCTATTAAGTATTAGGGAGTTGTTAAGTATTTTCTTTAAAAGAT